TCGCCTGCATTGGCAGGCGGATTCTTAACCACTGCGCCACCAGGGAAGCCCCTGTAGCGCAATTTTAGATCTTTATGTTTTCTGTAGTGGTGAATTACATGGGTAGACTGCATATTTTTTAGATCAGACGTTTCACAGGACTATTCTTCCATAGCAGTGCCTCGTTACATGTACTCCTCCCCCTAAGAAGTTCAGATTTCAAAGATGTGATCTGTTCTCCAGTTTATCTTCCCAGCCCCTACAGCCAGACTTGAGGAGGCAGCATCTGTCCTTTTCAGTTGCCTGGAGCTGCCCTGAACCAGGAGCAGTGTGAGGTTGAGGGAGCAGTGTGGCCCTGGGCTCTCTGGGAGCGGCTGCCTGCAGGGCTGCACCCAGCCGGGGCGCCAGGTCTGCTCACGTGATGGTCTTGCAGCATCTCCGGGGCTGACCCAGCCAGCCGGTGCTTGGTTGTCTCCCTTATGCCATCCACAAACCACCCTGGGACACGTCCAGCCTGCGCTCAGTGGCTTGTTTCTTAATGGCTTTCACTTCTCATCCCCCTAAACCACCCAGAGAGGCACAGGCTGGGAATTCTCCCTCTCACCTGCTTCTGTCCTCCTTGACTTGATGGAAAGTACAGCTTCTTTGTCCCTTCCATTCTCCTGCAGCCCCCCCCAGAAAAAAAAAGAGAATATTGACAGTTGCCTCTAATTAGGTTTATGCTCCCATCTTTTAAAATTACATTTCTTCTTACATTATTATTCCAGTTGTTAGGTAACTTTCCCAAATTTAGTCACCCAACATTTAGTTATTAGGGCTGTGCTCGAGCCCCAGGACATTGGAGTCTCTTTCTGAATGGCTTCAACTCTGGGGAAGGTGGAGCCAGGGCTGGGCTGGGCTGGGCTGGGCTGCGGGGCCCACTTACCCTCCCTCGCCCTGTGCACCGTAGGTGCGGGGATTGTTAACATTCGCCAACCATTCTAAGGGAAAAAATGGCAAGAACTAGAAAATAACCCTGATAGAGTTCTTTGAATTCTTCAGAGGGAAAAAATTTTTTATTACATTATTATGCTAAAATTCAGTATACTTGTTAAGTGTTTAATAATGTACTTTTGCAGTGGTGCAGGCTTTTTACAGTTTTTAGAGATCTTTTAATTCAACCCCTTATTTCAAAGCAGAGGAAACAGAGGCATTTTCTTCACTTACAGCAGCAGAAATTAGGATAGAGTATTTATACACATCTTTGTTTTACTCATAAAAATATATGTTTCAGTAATAACTCCTTTGAAATCCAGAGAATTCCTGAAAAAATAGACTAATGAAAAATTTTCTTTTTCACAGTTTCAACTTTTGAGGTATGTTTGAATTTAATATATTTTTGGAGTGAAAAACAGATTCATCTGAACCTGTGACAAAATTTTAGCAGTAGTTTAGTATATATAATATATGTATATTTACGTATATATTTACATGTATATTTATTTGTTATTTTCTATATTGTCTTGACAGCGCTGTCTGAAGTACCGGAATCTTAAAATTTGGGGTTGCGTTTCCCACAGTCCTGCCCTTCAATGTGTGTGAAGGGGAATGGAGTGCCATTTCATCAGAATCTGGTCCGGCTTAACTGTCTGCTTTTCTGTGTTTTCCCAGATATGATCTTTCTTCAGGGATCAGAGGTCATATTTAAAGTGGCTTTAAGTCTGTTGGGAAGCCATAAGCCCTTGATTCTGCAACATGAAAACCTAGAAACTATAGTTGACTTTATAAAAAGCACGCTACCCAACCTGGGCTTGGTGCAGATGGAAAAGACCATCAGTCAGGTATGGTTCAGTCTGGACCTTCCAGATGTTCCAGCGATTCTGTTTTGTTTTGTTTTTTTTTCTTTTCGGTACGTGGGCCTCTCACTGCTGTGGCCTCTCGCGTTGTGGAGCACAGGCTCCGGACGCGCAGGCTCAGCGGCCATGGCCCACGGGCCCAGCCGCTCTGTGGCATGTGGGATCCCCCCCGGACCGGGGCACAAACCCACGTCCCCTGCATTGGCAGGCAGACTTTCACCCACTGCGCCACCAGGTAAGCCAATTCCAGCGATTCTGGATATGCAGAGGCTGAATTTCCTTTTTTTTTTTTTTTTGAGGAGAAGCTGTTTCCTACCACTTTGTGTCCTGAGCAGCAATGCTCAGCTCATGGGAGGCACATCTCGAATCCCTGTTCCATGATCAGACGTGTGTCTGCGTGTGCGTGTGCTGAGAGTGTGTAGGTGTGATAACCAGCACAAACTATCGGTAGTTTCTTACAATCAAAAGGCGTTGTCACCCCTCGGCGTTTGTTCTTCTGAAATACATACATTTTTATTCAACGTAGGCTTTTGTAAAATGAGTGCTTTGATTTTTGTGCTGAAATGGCATTAATTGGAATTTTCTAAAAATTTAACTTGTTGATATGAAGTTGTGATAAAGAGTGTATATTCTATGACTTTGTTCTGGAGAGCGTGTGTGTGTGTGTTTTATAGAGTTCAGTCCCATATTCATCTGTGGTTCTAGTCCCTCTGATTTCTGTATGCAGTAGAACTGCATTGCATGTATGCATGTATCACTCTCTGAAATGTTAGGGGTTGAGGGTGAGGTGATCCTGGAATTGCAGCTCAACCAGTTGTTAATGGCCTGGCTTAGGAGTGGGAGCAGATCTTGACTCTGTATCAGGAAGAATTTTCCAGTAATGATTGCTGACCATGCAGGACTCAGCTGCCTGGCAGGGGGTGAGGTCACCCTTGGAAGTGTCCGGAGGCTGGATGGCGAGTGCTCCAGAAGGTGCCCAATGCAGCGATCCCACAGACTCAGCAGTCGGGGCCTCTCATTAGCCTAGAACTTACCTCACCTGCAAATGTAATGAAAACGTAGAGCAATTGGGTAAAAGCAAATAGTGAAATAAAGCCGTGTTTTGTTTTGTTTTGTTTTTTGCGGTACGCGGGCCTCTCCCCATTGTGGCCTCTCCCGTTGCGGAGCACAGGCTCCGGACGCGCGGGCTCAGCGGCCATGGCTCACGGGCCCAGCCGCTCCGCGGCACGTGGGATCCTCCCGGACCGGGGCACGAACCCGCGTCCCCTGCATGGGCAGGCGGACTCCCAACCACTGCGCCACCAGGGAAGCCCAAAGGCGTGTTTTAAAAAAATCCTTCTCCTGAGGGTTTCTGATAGTCCGAGAGTGGTGGGTTGCACCCAGTTGCAGCAGTTTGTGGTTTCATTTGCTGCCCCTCCTTAGGTGCTGAGCCCAGAAAAGGAGGCAAGTCTGGGCTGGAAGAGGGAGACGGTTTCATCTGGGTGCCACTTTGGATCTCTGCACATTTCATTTGCCTACGTGAAGGAGCAGCTCTTTTCGTCTCTGCACTTTCTTCTTCAGTTAATTGAGAGGCTTGTACTTCCCTGGCGCCTTCCTCTCAGTATGAATAGCTCTGGCTTGTTGATGCCCTGCTTTTTGCCAGGTTCTGTGTGACTCTGCATATACACACATGATTTCATTCAGTCGTGACTGAATTCCTGAGAGGACAAGTGGTTTTAACCCACGAGCAACCTAGGGTTCAAAGTGGTTGATTAGCTGGCCCACAGTCATGCTGCCGAGAAGTGGAAAAGTTAGGGTTTCAGACTCAGGCCCTCACTTCAAACGCTTTCGCAGCTACTCAGCTCCACCAAGTGCCTGCGGGTGTCATTTAATCAGAGATTTTCTGTACTGTACCTGTGTATTAAGACTGAATTCTCCACCCTTTGATTCTTTACTTTCTGACGTTTCCATGCATTTCCTCCCTTTTAGAGCTTTCATTGCACATACCTATGTCTTTTGGCTGCAGGGGAAAATGCAAGAGCCTTGGTTGCCTAAAGCCAAGTCTGTGGCAGTGAGCGCCTTGACCTGCTGCCTGGGGCCTGGCTAAAAGGCAGAGGCAGCCTCACCCATGTGGTCACCTTCTGGATATTGAGCCCCAGAAAAAAAAGAACATTTTCCTCCCCTCGTCTGTAAAGGATACCTACTGAGGGTGTGAAGGTGCTCTTTAATGTGGGGAGAATAGACATAGACACAGTGTGGAGAGAGGACAGTTGTGTGTGTGCCTCAGTTGTTTCAGGCATCCGTTTTGAACTTGGCATGCTTTATTCCATTGGCTCCTTAACAACTCTGGGGCCCGGAGGGAGTAAACGCCCAGCACCCTGTACGAGGTGGCAGAGCCAAGAGTGTAACGTGCTCTGGGGCACCAGAGCCCATCCTGTGTAGAAAAGGAGCGTGTAACCAGTAATTGCAAGAGTGGTGGGAGCTCCAGTGGTGCTGTGCAGGGGCTGCAGGAGCGGGCTGTGCAGGGAGTGAGCAGTGAGTGGGGATTGGGGACCGGAGAGCTGAGGGAGTTGAGTTCAGCTGGGCCTTTTCTGCAGAGGGCCAGGGAGGAAGTGTTTCAGTCTTTGTGGACCATAAAGTCCCGTGAGGTCAGCTCAGCCTCTGCAGCATGAAGGCCACCAGAGCCAGTATTTGCCGGAATGAAGCGGCTGTGTTGCAGTAAAGCTTTATTTGCAAAGCATGTGGCGGGACAACCTTGGTCCACGGGCTGTAGTCAGCTAACCCCCCATTATAGTACACGCAAAGGCACGGGAGCGAGAGAGAGGTTCTAGGCACTGGTTCAGCTTTCCCCGGGGTTGGGGCGGGGAGGCGTGGGGATTGGAAGTACGGACACAGCATCTGCATCTGAGGTCCAGGTTTTCAGCCTGCCACAGGTCTCGCTGGGAAACAAGACTCAATGCCAGGCAGCTCTCCGCCCTCCTTCCCTCCAGCGTGTTCCATCTGGAACTTGACCTCTGCAGGCTGTCAAGCTTCCTGCCTGCCGGCTGCCCCCTCCCATCCCCTCCCTGCAGAGGGTGCTCTAGTCTCAAGTTCTACTCAGAGAGGGGAGGCCTGAGGGGCAGCGCAATTTCTCTGCAACCTTGGAGAGCCCACAGGGTGGAAGTGACATTGCGTTCTTTGCGTGCTGCTGTCCTGTGTGTGGAAGGATGGAGCTGGGCCGGATCTCTGTGATAGCCAGGCTCCATTTCATTAAATACCGTCTCCGTGGAAGCCTCAGCTCCAGCCGCTGGGACACAGTCTGCATCCAGGGTGGGGAGAGCCCCCAAGGACAGGGCCCTGGAGCTCCCGCTCAGCGCAGACAGGCTGGGAGCCACCACCAAGGGGCAGGCCCAGAGTTGACAGAGCCCAGGGTGTGGAGACAAGGGTCTCTGAGGCTCTGTGGCAGCTCCTCAGTGTGACTTAAGTGTCAGCTGAACGTGAGCCATAAAAATCGCCTCACAAGAAGGGGGAAGCCCTGGGAATGAACAGAAAGAAAGAGGAGGGAGGTCAGGGGTGTCGTCTCATCACAGCGAGTGCCGTGTGCCTTTGCAGCCTCAGGTCAGTGTAAGGAAGAGAGCAGGTGAAGGGGGGCTTTGGAGGACGGGGCAAATAGCCTATTTTCAGCGTCCTTTGGGCCCTGCTCCAAGTGCGGTCCCAGACCAGCACCATCACATAGGAACTTATGCAGAATCTGGGGCCCCCACTCCAGACCCGCTGAGTCAGAATCTGCATTTCAGCAAGATGCCCAGGAGATAATGTGCGCGTGCGCGCGCACAGACACACGCGCGCGCGCGCACCTTGGAAAGCTCTGCTGTGGGCGACTTCATTGTAAGCACACCAGACAAGTCTCTGTTCTAGTTGAGCTTGTAGGAGAGAAACCAGAATCTTAACAGAGTTCCTTTGTTCAAAAGATGCTCTTCAGAATCGCAGTGGTGAGACTGCCCCTTCTGCCTTGGGAGGAGCCCTTACTGCTTGAGCAGCTTGCGCTCTTGAAAATTAGTTTTTTAAAAGGCCAGTCAGTGCCATACCAAGAGGGTGGGGTACGGCAGGGAGGAGTACTTTACTACTGACATTGTTTAGAATTGCTTGCATGTGGTGATAATAAAAAGCAGACCAACTTTTAGTTGGGCTTATTCTTGTTTTTAAATTCACTACAGACACTGCACCCCCTTATTTTTGATACCCAAGCAGAGGCTCCCCCATCCAGCTCTTGGTATGCCACTGAGACCCCCAGGCCGGGGGGGAAGGGTCTGGGGGTGGAGAGGGTGGAAAGTATGTGACTAGCTCTGCAGCCATCAGGGCCGATGGCTTCATTACAGAGTCCGCAGACAGCAAAGAGAAACACGGAGTCTCCGGGAGCAGGCGCGCCAAGAACGGAAACGAATTCTCTCGAGGAAGAGACTCGTCCAGCAAGCAGATATCTGGGAAAATATTTAGCTTCGTGCATAATTTACATGTAAACAACATATAATGCTTTACCTTCCTAGAATAACAAAATGAAACATTTTAATCCCAGTACCCAGTGCCGAGGGTATACTGTATCTGGCACATTCTTACGTTGCTAATGGCATTGTACGTGGATTATTCCTGTTTGGGAAGCAATTTGGCAATATGTGTCACGAGCCAGTAAAATATTTGTACCCTTTGACTCAGTAATCCCATTTCTTGGAATGTATGCTTAGGAAATAATCCAAAATATGGGAAAAGCCATACACACGAGGATGTTTAAAGTTGTCGTTGATAACAAAAACTTACAAGTAACTGGATATCCAGCATTTGATGACTGGATTAACATGGTTATTGATACGTCGAGTTGGTAGAATACCATGAAGCCATGTATAATTATGGTTATGAAGAATATACAGCAACGTGAGAAAGCGTCATTTGAGGACCAGGGCGCTCCTGTCACCGCCAGCCATATGCTGCCATGGTCGGGAATAAATTCCCAGGCACGACTGCAAGGGCTGTGTGTGTGTTTTGGCAGCCAGGAGGGTAATGATGCAGTTAATAAGCAGAGATGATTGTGACCCAGGATGGTTCCTGGGGATTAACGTAGGCCTCCGTGAGCACTCCGCTCTGTGCACAGTTGAGAGCCATTAACCATAGCCGCTCATCAATCTGGATCAAAGGCCAGAGGTTTTGTCCCCAGGTTTTCCAGGTTAGGAGCTCATTTAAAAACCTCTGTGGAAGAAAAAAAGTGTGTGTGTGACATTTATCCCTCACTGTGTTTATAATTACACACTAATGCCACAGCAATCTTGGTTTTAATGTGTGTGGTCTCTACTCTGAGCTGTTCAGAAGTTCCATGGTGTGACATCCTTTGTCATTTTGCTGCAGCACAAGGTTGGATGGGAGGGGTTTTGTGACAGCTGTGTGGAAGCAGATCCCTTAGCTAAGTTAGGGCACCAGCTCAGCTTGCCAGGCCTGTGTCTCATGATTCCCCACAGCTATGCTGTCAGGTAGGTGTTACCACCTCCATGTGGTGGAGGCCAGGAACTGAGGCCAGAAAAGGTCAAGTAGCTTGCTCAGGGTCATTCAGAGAGTCGCCAGCCGAGCCCCCATTCAAGGGCTGACTGAAAGCTTCTGAGTCAGTTTTCTTGACTGTAGAATAGAGATGATAGTCCCTGCCAGCTCACGGTCGCTCTGAGGGACAGCAGAGAATCAGATCAATGCAGTCAACTCCACACACAAACACGCACGCACGTCACAAATACAATGTGTATTACTTTTTTGGCCTATAGTGACTTTTGTGCCTAATTAGTATTAGCCACTGAATTAAATTGAAAACCAGGAAGCTGAAAAATTAATCTCAAGGAAGAGAAAATAAGATTGGAAGAGAAAATAAGATTTCTGGGAATGGTGAGAAAGTAGACATGGTTTTTGAAAATTGATTTCAGGAAAGATGGGGCTCATTCGTGTTTGAATGCTAACAGGGTGCCATCAAGGGAAATGAGTTTTTCATTGATTTTAACTGGGTTGGAATTTCTTTCTTAAGGAAATGCTGTGAAGAGTTAGTTTCTGCTCTTATAAAGACTAATTTCATTCTTTAGATGTATGTTCTGATCTGGCTTTTTTTATGTGGTGACTGAATTCTCAGATCCACGCTGGGGCTTCGCGCCTGGGGCAGCAGCAGCCTCTGCCTTCCGACCCCTCATCGTCCCAGCTTCCATCCAGCTCACTTCACTCATCAAGAGAAAGTGCAGATATGAACAGCTCACTCACTTGTGCACTTTGGGGTTGTTTTTCACACGAGTGGTTTTTTTTCATGACTATTACTATTACGGAAAGGAAGGCAACTCAGCCATTGTTTTGTATTCACTCATCTATGTGGGTGACATTTGGGTTTTGGCTCATTTCTGCATATTTTATGTGCAGAATAGGGTTTTTTAGTAAACACTTCCATTACTTAGCTGTTCTTGTAACTCTGAAAATCCAACTGAACTATAATTAAACTTTGACCTGGTGACTGGGCAGATGGGGTTGTGATTCTTCTGTTTTGATTTATTCTCTCTTTGACCCATAGTTGTGTATCTAATCTAATAGAGTTTTCAGAGAAAAATGATCTAAGTACTGAAATAAGAAGTAAAAATAAACTCATATAAGCATTTTAAAAAAGAAGCTTTTGGCTTTTGAAAAATGAGTATCAGAGACCTACACTTGCTGTTACCTTTGGTTTATTTCCAAATGCTTCTTTTTTAAAAAAATTTATTATATTATCTATTAGTTTATTTTTGGCTGCATTGGGTCTTGGTTGTGGCACACGAGATCTTTGTTGTGGCACACGGGATCTTTCGTTGCGGCGCATGGGCTCTTCATCGTGGTGCGTGGGCTTCTCTCTAGCTGTGGCTTGTGGGTTTTCTCTCTCTAGTTGTGGCGCACGGACTCCAGAGCGCGTGGGCTTCTGTAGTTTGCGTCACACAGGCTCCCTAGTTGAGGCGTGCCAGCTCAGTAGTTGAGGTGGGCGGGCTTAGTTGCCCCGTGGGCTGTGGGACCTTATTTCCCCAACCAGGGATCAGACCCACATCCCCTGCATTGTAAGGTGGATTCTTTACCACTGGACCACCAGGGAAGTCCCCCAACTGCTTCTTAAATCCTCTCTTCCCAAGTAAAATTATTCCCTTCTCAGTGCAGAGAGTTTTCCCTGTTTATCACTGATAGTATCAGGCACAGAGTAGGTGCTTCGTGGACACCCGTCGACGTGGTCACGTGTGTGTGTGTGTGTGTGTGTGCTTTTTCTCATTTTCAGTGCCTGATGACTTTTCTGTGCGTCACAGGTGTTTGTGATGGACATCTCTAAACAGTTACAAGCTTATGAAGTTGAGTACCATGTGCTTCAGGAAGAACTTATCGATTCCTCTCCTCTCAGTGACAACCAAAGAATGGACAGATTAGAGAAAACCAACAGCAGCTTACGCAAACAGAACCTTGACCTCCTCGAACAACTGCAGGTAGGGCATATTTACAAGGTAGCCTCCCGAACCTTGAGCGTGTGGTAGTTCATTAACTCACCAGAGGCACCGGCAGGCTGGGTTTTCCCATGGCCGTAGGCCCTTTCTCTTCTGGTTGTTTGTAGTTGGGATCAAAGGTAGCCCAGGAGAATTGTTCCTTTTTGTTAGGGAGCAGACAGATTATCCTTTGCTAAGGTCAGACTGTCCTGGAACTTTCTGAGAGGCTATTTCTGCACTTAACCCTTTCAGGAGACAGACCCAGAGCTGAACTTGGGTTCAGGGTGCCGTCGTAGTATTAGCCGAATAGCCAGCGATTGCGCTTTGAGTAATGACGAGACAGTCAAAGGCGTGAGCTTTCAGGAGCGAAACCAGCTAGGTCCACGGAGTGATATCGAGTGAGGAAAGTGCCACAGAATCTCCCTAACAGAGTAAACCAGAGCCTGTGATCAGGATTTGTGAGTCCCTGGTGCAAATGCAAAAATTCAGTTCATGAAGGGACACAGTTCTCCCCTCTGGAAGCTTCCGTCTTACTGTGGATAAATGCGGATGAGGACATACAGTAAGTAGAAAGGCAAACCCAGACGTGCGTGCAGGCGGGAGAGATGGAGCTAGCACAGAGGCGCAGTCCAGAGGCCCAGATCTTGCTAGGTCCAGTGTCACCCATACTGTCACCTGCTCTGCTCTGACTCCCTCATCTGTGCGACAGGGACAAAAAGATGCCTTTTTGTTGGGGTAGGGGGTAGCACTCCTCTAACAATCAGATAGAATAAACTAACCATACAGTCTGCTTTCTAAATGTCAATATGGGTGGTAAAGCTGTCATTGTTAACGAATTGTGTGTGGAGTGGGGGAAGGGGGTGTTTTAAAAAATTATTTTTGAGCTTGCTGTGGAGAAAACTTTATATTTTTTCCAAAATATGTATTCTGTGGTATTCCTGGGCTGTCCTGAGAATAAGCTTTCCATCCTGATCTTAGCCTCTTAGTTTTCTCTATAGAAAGTTGCTGCTTTGCAGACACAAGCTTGGCAGTGATGGGAGAAAGGCCAGCATTTGGAGCGTAATAAATCAACCCCTGTCTAAAATGTATTCCCCCCAGCAGGGATTTTTACCCCAGTAGAAACCTAGTAGATATTTGCTGCGGAGGAACAAAGAAAAGTCTATCCTTACCCAGGCCTGACTACCAGTCACATTCCGAAAGTTAGCTTTTTGTTCCTCTAAGATTGAGCTGTCCTAACTGAAACTGTGCCTGAGTACGATTTCCCCAGGGTGTCTTAGCTGTAACCGGAAGGGGAGGTGCCGGGGAAGGAAGAGCCTTATCTTGCATGTAAGGGTCTGCAGTGTAGGTGGTACTTTTAAATGCCTTCCAAACAAACAGTAGGTCCCTGAAGTATGGCAGGATGGAAACATTTCTAACAAAGCCCGGATTTGAAGTTGAAGCGTTTGTCTCGTTAGGATAGTGCTCAAATTAAAGGTTCATTTTATTAGGCTGATACCATGTGGGTTTTTTGTCATGAAGAGGGGAAGTAATCTTGCGCTGCTCCTGTGATACTGTACCCCTTTTGTGAAGAGAGGGAGTTGTGAAAAGCTGCTCAGACATCTGCGTCCTCAAGAAACGCATCAAGAGGTCATTGGTAACAACAGATGTCCTCCTTGGAATGAGCTTTCTCTTGACCACGTGGCTCTGTGCTTCTGGACGTATCGTTCAAGACTAGAGCTTATGCCGGTCCCAGCTGTGCTGGGTGCCAGAGGCCACCAAAATTTGTAAGACACTGCTGCTCTCGAAGAGTTAGGCTAGGGATTGTGGTGTGTCAGTTGGTGGGTGCCTGCATATAGTTTTCCCATTACCCTCTGAGTCACGTGGAATTACTTTCAGTCAGACCACGTACGTTCTGTGAGACTCACACCTCTTTTCCCTTTTTTCTTTTTTTAAAGTAGTTTTCAGAGTCCAGGGATAGCTGTTCAATGCAATACTTAATTTTCCAACATAAATCTTTGCTTTTTTGCCCAAGTATCAAAATTGACCTGTTTCCTGGCTTTGTTCCATTCATACAGTTGTTGGACATACCAAAGCCCCATCTATTTTCTTGTTAAACACTTAAGAATGTCACCTGGCCGCTGGAGACTAAACTGTCTTAGCTCTTCTGTCCAGCAGCGTACTTACGACGATGGCTTAGACATGTCTGACGTTGCCAGATACTAAGGGACGTGCATTTTTTTGGAATAATCCACTACCAGTCATTGAGTGCCCGTGAGCCGGGTGCTTTGGGAGGCCAGACCCACGTGCAGGGTGAGGTGTGTTTTCTTCTGTGAGACAGCTTCAGTCTCACCGAGGAGACCTGACGTTCATGCTGGCCAGTAAATGACCATGCACATGAGCTCGCTGCTAAGCTGAGAGGTGCCCCTGGGAGTGCTGTGGCCTTCAGAAGGAGTGGTCCCTGGAGGGGATGAGGTGGGACCCGTCCCAGGCCTTGACCGTGGGGAGGAGTGTGAGGGTCTGAGAGGACTGCTTGGACATATCCACTCAGCGTGACCACCCTCTACCCGGTAAGCTGGCGAACTTAGGGTCTCAGTCCTTTCTTCTTTCTGTTTTGAGTGTTACAGTGTCACAGCCAGACCTAGGCTTTGAGTCATAGAATTGTCTGTCTAGCACAAGTGTTGTCTTGTTCAAGAAGCTGTTTCCCTTGTTTTGAAAATGAGGGAAAAAAATATGTACCATTGTTCCACCTAAAATCTACGGGGACACATAGACGGCCCGGTCAGGTGAGCGAGCCAGTGCAGTGCCTTACTGACCCCGGGCCCGAGCACTCGAGAATGCAGCGGAGAGCTGGAATCGGCCAGGAGGCCCGGGGACCGCAGCATAGGAGGCTGCTTTTCTCAGGAAACTCCTCTGCTTCACTGGGGCCAACTCACTGGTTGCCTGGGAAGCCAGCCCGAGGGGACTAGAGAGAAGAGGAGGGTCCGTTGCAAGAGAGAAGCACCTGGAAGGTCGGCCTGACACTGATTGTGTGCTGGGGATGCAGATGGGTGGGAGTGGAGACACTGCTGGCGTCTGTGGCCAGTGAGGCCACGCACGTGACCCTCTTAGCAGAGCTCGGCCACCCTGAGCGCTCCACACACGTTCCCGGGGAAATGCCTGTCCTTGTTACGGTAGGGAGTATTAAAGGTTCAGAGTAGAGAGCTGTTACTACGTGGGCCTTCACACAGAAACCATTTTGATGGTCTGTCTGAAATCAGTTTATACCTGTAAATACGTGTATTTGTCAAAGTGGGCCAGACTGTGCTGCAGTAACAATGCTCCAGACCCCAGGGCTCAGCACCGCAGGCCCTCCACCTTGTTTCCACGAAGCATTCTCGGGCCGTTTCACAGCTGTCCTCCTGTAGCGGGTGACTCGGGAATCGGGCTCCCTCTGCCCTGGGAAGCCGCCATCTCCACAGGCAGCTTCCACAGTAGCCACGACAGGGGAAGAGGGTGCTGGAGGATCTCGGGGCGGCCCAGCCCACCTGCGAGGAGTCTTCCACTGTGGCCAGAACTGAGAGTAAACGTGGAGAGATGTGTCTCTGCCAGAACAGGGCTCCAGAGTGCCTTCGAGGATGGACAGTGGAGTGCAGAGTGGATCTCCCATGTTCTCCCCGGGCAGTTCCATTCTCATTTCTTTTATTCTCTAGGTGGCTAATGGGAGGATCCAGAGCCTGGAAGCCACCATTGAGAAGCTCCTGACCAGTGAAAGCAAGCTGAAGCAAGCGACCCTGGCCTTGGAGCTGGAGAGGTCAGCCCTGCTGCAGACAGTGGAGCGGCTCCAGGGGCAGATGGCAGAGCTGGGTGGCCCGGAGCCTGACCCCGCACCGCCCGAGCCTGCGGACCACTGACGGCCGGAGCCCAGCCCCCGCCAGAGCACAGCTCCAGACGCGGGTCACCACCGCCCTGACACTGTCCAGGCCTTAACTGAGAGAGATGAAGGTGTCGGAGGGAGAACGGAGCGTGAAGCGTGCTTCTCAGGGAGGAGACTGACTTGCCAGCGCGCGGATTCTTCTGAACTAAGATTTGCAGTGCAGGGGGCGAACGTCCTGGTGGTGTTGTCGCTGTTTAGGTTCTTACACGTCCCCTCTCCGGTCCCGGTTACTGTACTCAGTAGATTTAGACGGCATGGACTTGAAATAAAGGCACCTTTGTGTTTCTTTATCGCTTCCTTCTTCAGTATCGCTGTGTCTGTGAAGGGCATTCATAATACTGTGGGACTTCAGCAGCCGGCGAGGCTGGAGGTGATGATTCCTCTGGCCAACGTGTGGCCCGTGACTTACACCTTCAGCGTCGCCGGCAGGGGTGCGGTTGGCCCGTGACCATTCTTGTTGTGGAAGCCCTGGATTGCCACTGGGAAAAATCGGAAGCGATTTATTTAAATTTGACATCTTACATTTGATCACTGTGCTTGGTATTTAATGAAGTTTGTCTTTTAAGAAGAATAGTTTTCATATACTTCTTGCTTAGCCCTTAAGTATTGATCACAGTCGTTGTAGATAAACGTTTTATGGGAAAATCACCAATTTTTAGACTCTGCCAGGTATTGCTAGCGTGCGACCTGCAGTTGTAGAGGCTGAGAGGTTTACTTTGTTGTGGTGTTTCATATCCGTATTTCAGAGTCGTGTATTCATTTGTGCTGTCGTGTGATGTAACGCAGCCGTGTGTCCCTTTGAGTCTCCACCCCTTGGGAATCGGACTCCTTGCGGAAGTCGCCCTGCACGTCAGGACTTCCAGGGGTCCCAGACATTCTGGGGCTTTCAAAGTCTTCAGACTTTCGGCCTGAAATTGCATCAACTGTACGGCAGCTGAGAGCAGTTTTTTGTGGTGGGATGTGCGTTTTGAATGTAACTCACAACCCAGCGACCCCCTCCCTCAGGATGATGAGGACCCGGTGCCTTCAGCCAGCAAAGGGCTGCTCTCAGTGGCCCTGGTGTCATCTGGTCGCCACGTGAGGCTCTTCCCCATGATCTCCTGGAGCGAGTGGTGGGTTAGAGAGGAGCTGTGGAGGCGAGTTCACTTCCAGGACAGCAGAACCATTTCTTTACTGTATCATCGTAACTACTACTGTTCCACAGGAGTTCTTCGACACACCCGCCCCGTGGTGGGCGTCTCCTTCAAGACGGAGGGGTGAGGAAGGGCTTTCATATCTGGAACCTTTCTAGATCTCCCCAGACATTTCCAGGGGAGGCACACGTGCTGCCGCTGGTGCCCAAACGGTTGGTTGACAGTGGGGACTCTTTGCTGTTCCCCATGTCATAAACCATGATGACAAGCCCAGTAGAGTAGCCTTTATCCTGTGTTGTTCCACCAGCTACAGCTTAAAGGAGTTAACATGTGAGGGCTTCTTTCCATATACTTTACTGTTTAAATGTTCAATAATGTTCAATTTGGGGCATCTTATTACCGTTACTCAAAAACATCGACTCTGCATTAAATAAAAAGCAATAAAACAAATAATTCATGCCCGCACTTCTACGGTGTTCTTTTTCTTTTTTTTAAACGTTGGGTTTCTGCTTTTCAGCCCAGGAGTGAAGGACTGCCCGGTGAACGCCTGTGGGTCAGAGTATGAATGTTGCCTAACCAGCAGTGAGATCTCTGAGGGATTGGCGTCTTGCATACCCAGTATTGCTACCCAAGTGCAACACACCTCTGCGCGGGTGTGCGTAGTAGGGCTGCTGAGACCAGCCACATCCGTGGTGTGTGCCAGCGGGCACTGCTGTGAGATCACGCTGGGCGGAGAGGACGGGGGGGACACAGGCCTGTGATTACAGGTTGGACAGTCCGCCTGTGCCTTAGCTGGCTGGGGACGGAGTCTCCGTTCACATCACTGCCTGAGGGTTCGCAGAGGCAAGGTTTTAAACTAAGAAAGTTTCCTGTTACGTTTTCCTCCCAACACACAACTGTATGCACACGTGTGTGTGCGCTTGGAGGTTGTCTGTCTTTTGGTACGTACAATTTATACCCTCTTAGACAAAGACATTGAGCCCCCGGGAAGCACACTGTGACGTAGAACACATAGAAAAACAGCTCCTATGCAGAACACTCGGTTTGGGGCCCTCTGAGCAGTTACACGTAGATAGAACAAGAGTGTCCGTTTGGGGATTTGTGTTTGTTTTGGTTGGGGAATGGGGAGGTGAGCTGCTCTGAGGGCTGTGGGATGCAGGAGCTGTTTCAGGAATGAGAGCAGACGCCACTGTGTGAGGAGCTGCAGAGGGGAGGGTGTGCAGACCAAGAGGAGTCCCCAGGGGGCCCATCTGAGCGGCGGAACACACACACATGCTGCCGCGGCCCGGGGCGGGGCACACGCGGGGCTCTAGGCAGCTGCAACCGCCACGTAGTAACCATCTCCGCGTCGACGGCCAGCGTCTGGCGGTGGGCCTGGAGCCACCCTAGGTCATGCCTCAAAGTCAGAACGTGGGAAGAAGAACTTGGAGGTGGGGCGGTGGAGAATGAGGGCGAGCTGGGACCGTGAGCACCTCGCGCGTGTCTGTCGCCACACCTGACTGTGGTGACCTTCAGAGAAGAGTGGCCCTTGCATCACTTTACCTTCCAGAAAATCACACAAGCATGTCTTTGAGCCGACTCTCATTTAGGACCACTGGGGAGGGGGACGCAAGGAAAGGTAGTCCTGACTTAACCAAGCTGACGGAAGACAAAGCACCGTAATTTTGGAACCTGCCTAACCCGAATGACAGCGTGCGTATGTGAGTTATTTGACGGGGGCCTTCCAGCTAAGTATATACGATGAGTGATCCGCAGGGCTCGGATTCATAGATTGATTTTGACTTTGTCACACTGATGGTGCAGCACTGAAGACTAAAAACTGCAGCAGCCACAGCTGACACCCGGGACCACCCCCAACCCTTCACCTGCTTCCCTCTGTCAAAGTGTTACCAAACGCTCTGCAAATTAAGATCCAGAATCTTTCCGTGTGGGAAGATAATTTACAGGCCACATTGTCTTAAACTGAAACTGCTTTAAGGGTTTGGAATAGCTCCAGATTATCTTGGATTGGAGGGAACCTAACTACCTTCCACCCCATCTTACAGAGGGAAGAACTGAGGAGAAGAGAGGTTCAGAAACCGCCTAATGGTTGCCTGCAGGGTCAGCGTGGGGCTTCAGCCTCCTGATTGCCAGGTAGCTGACACCACCCAGCTTTCATTCCAGTGAGTTTTGGGAATCATTTCTGACGGCATTAAGGTCCAAGGCCAGGAGAGTTCTGCTTCACTTTCCAGGAAGGTGATCTGTATAGTAAGAAGCCCAGCTCAGCTTCTCTCCTGAGGCGTAGGGTCTGCCGGGACCTTAATCTGTCTTGAGTTAGAACCAGGGCAGAGGAACGCTACTGCCACAGGGTCTGAATTGACTGGGGACAGTTTTGCTCTTGACGGTCATTTCTTTTTTTACTTTTAGACGTCTGAAAACCCTTGCATTGTCACGTTAAAAAAAATCAACACAATTAATTGCCTTTGGTATTATAGAAGTGAAACTTCCCACTATGTAAAGTTTTTTTGTTGCCGTCTTTAGAAATGATCAGAAGGGTTAGGGAGAGGTAAGAGCTAGGATTTAGAGCAGCCAGCAGCAGTCATTATTTGAAGTCGATAACAAAAGATGAAAAAAGAATGTTCTGAGAGCCTAGGCTTCGTAGATACCTGCCTTCATATCTCCAAAGTGAATAATCAACTGTTTTGGTTGTAAACCCTTATTAGCAAAGCTTTTGAATTTATACCACTATGTGTATAGTTATTTAAAAATTTCACTAAATTTTATCATAAGATAGAAGTTTTAAACGAGGTGAAGCAAAATAGTTTAAAACTACTGATGATTAAAAAGTTGATATCCAGTGTTTCTGAGGAGAACAATAAACACTTCATTTTAAATATTGTTTTAAGACTGTGATACAGTAATTCAGATGTGAATTTCCAAGTTCAGCCTAGTATGATGGTTAGTTTGAACGCACTGCCATGGCTGGAAACAGGATGGCTTCCAACCTCTAAATGCAGAAAGGGCACTTCTGGTCACATTGAGTCAGCTGCTCTTTAATTCACATGTATTCACCAGTTGTGCAAAGGTTTTTGTTGAAATCTGGCTAGTAAATTTCCATCTTCTCTAAGGGCAGACTAATGTAAACGAATCAAAATGTGTTAAGAGTTTTATATTTTTAATCAAGGACTTTCAAGCACTCAAACTCTTCATTTGGAAAGCTTTGAACAAGTTATAAAAGCATTTCCAAGATCGTTTGAGTAGCACGTTCACATAGTTTTTGGCTAAGAGATGACCTAAACAGTAGCAACGCTTCAAACATCCTTTTCTGAAAAAGCCCTCTCCATCGCACATTCTCAGTAGTCTTTCCTCGGGCTCAGTCCTCGGAGCCCTGTGCTCTCCGTCACGGGGAGGGGGAGGGTGGAGGAGACGCTGGTGTGGGAGTCTTCCTTCTCCCTGTGGCTGCCCGCTCACCTGCCCCTGTGCCCGCTGTGCCCCTTTCCTGCTGTCCTCCAGGAGCTTGCAAAGTGCTGGGCTGAGCAGAGCAGAGAGGAGCTGCGCGCTGTGCGTGGTACAAATAGCCCCTGTGAGCCATGCACTTGCTGACTGCAGGGCCGCCCCTCAGAACCACTGGCTTAGCCTGAAGTCTGACAAGGGGACGGGGAGACAGCTTTGTCTTGTGTTTTCTCAGTCAGATTCATCCGCTCTTCTCTTCCTCAGTCAGATTCATCCGCTATTCCTCACTCTCCTGGCTACATCTTCCTGCCGTTGTCTTTGTCTTATTCCGTATTTGGATCTGTGTTTGGGGTGTCTTCTTGCTGCTCTTCTAGACAGCACTTCTTTCTAAACCTCTATGTTCCTCATTTCTTCCAGCTGCGGGAAAAGCTGACACTGGCCACCGTTAAACTATGACTTTGGTTCTTAGCCCCTGCAGGGTGACGTCCTGCGGTACCATCTTGGGGAATCTGGGCAGCAGGGAAAGCAGCACATGAGGGACGTAGAGGCAGGTGTGCTTGGTGGTGGGAAGAGGGGGGAACCGATGTACGTAATGATGTTCTGCCCACTTCAGCTCTTCCTGTACTTTCCACCAAGGATTTCATGATCCATTTTCCTTCCTTTGCGGTACATGGTAATCAACTTTGCTCGTGAATTTCATATGCTCTAATCATCTATTCA